ACTGCTTCCAGAACAAGACAGAGCACCTATACAAAGCAGCAGTGACAGCGAGCAGAAAGAGACTGGTGAAATTAACAGTCTGGTCCTATATATGTGAGAGAATACGAGTGTGGAGGTCAAAATTACACTGGACTGCTACTGAAAACAGATGCCATCCCCAATTATGTAACATCTCGTTGAACATATCCCTAGGATTGGCTCCAATGTTAATGAGGAGATTCTTGCGAAAATGTCACCTAGTGGGCCATCCTACTGGTGTCCTTCATGGGCAAGCTGAGAAATAAGGTGGCCAGATGCAAAGAGGACAGAGCTCCTATACCTTTCACAGTTCTGTAGAAAAGGTAAATTTTAGCAGGTGTGGTTTGTATTACAACTCATAATCATTGGAGGAGGCCTGTCTTCTTTTGCATCTGGCAAAGCCAGTATTTAAATGTTCCCACAACTTCCTAGCATGATGCCGCATTGGGTGCCCTGAGGGACTGTGATAAAATTAAACGGCCAGGTTCCATCCACCATAGGGAGACAGGGTAGGTGCCAGTAGACCTTGCCAGGATATTGGGACCATATTCCTACCCTTACCTCTCAGAACTTGACAACCATTGGAAGGCCTGAAGCAGGTGTGAGGAACCTTTGGGTCTCCAGATGTTACTAAATTACATCTTCCATCACCCCCTGTCAACATCTGAAGGGCCAAAAGCTCCCCACACCTGATCTAAGCAACTAGTGACATTATGTGGTCATGCTTGCGGATAGGGCAACAGACTCAGTTTTCATTATGACCTAAGAACAATACTTGCTGACCTCCAGATGCTGTTTGACTACAGCTGCTATCATACATGACCTTTGGCCAAGGTGGATGGGTCTGATGGGAGTTGGAGTCCAACAACCTCTGGAGAACCACATACTGTATTACCTACCCATTGTACTAGACATGTAGAGAGATCCTAGGTGCAGAAAGTTGGACTGTCCTCTCCTCAGGCCAGGTTTCTTTCTTAACATATAGGCAGGGTCTTCCCAGTTTCTTCCCCCTGTCTTCCTTTGATGTCCACTCTTAGCTGCCTTTTTTTCTACTCTCACCCCTTTTTTCTACTCTCACGCCTCTACTTCTACACCACCCCGATCCCATCAGCTGGCTTCCTTAACTGCTGTTTTTTTCTCCTCCCTCTTCTGAGCATTCTCTCTCATCTCCCTGGTAACCAACTGTATTCAACTGCCTGCCACTCCATTCTGATCCTCCCAACTGGCCTGTGGTATTCCTGTAGGTTTGGGAACAGTGAGGAGACCTTGCAGTTGGCTTGCCTGAATGCCAGGAAGCAGCAGGAGTCAGGACAACTTCAATAGTTTTATATATTTGTGAATAGCAGATCAACAGAATAACAGTTAGGACTTGCTGCACAGGTAAGGCTAAGAGTCCAGCTAGTTCCCACCAAGCTTTGGAGGGAACCACAGACACCCAGCAAGGGGAAGGGAGTTTCTGTTACAGACTTCAGGCCACTCCCTGTGTAAGGTCCATTGCAAAGGGGAAATCATGAAGGGACCCAAAACCAGCTCCAGGGCAACAGAAATCTGGGGCTTTATCCATTGAGGAGAAATGGGAGGGATAGGAATTACTATCTAAAGTTATTGTTGATAGAAGGGTGCATACTGGTAATATGTTTGCACTATATAGTACTATACTAAGGGTTACAACAAGGCTACAGAGCTGGTAGAAATGGTTTTCATTTTATTTATTTTTAAAGATGCCTTTACATGGTGCCTATGGAATTCTGCTGGTAATTAGGTGACCTCTACCCTGTGTCTTTTAGGGCTGCTGGGGCATTGATTTTCCACAATTATCTGAAGGTGGAAATAAAACAGACCTTTCATATAGCACCAATAAGAACTCTTCATTACCCAGCAGTGCCTTTCCCCATGGCCAAGCTATTTCTGTAACATTCACTCACAAGCAAGTCTCATTCAGCTAAGGTGCCTCCAACATTCATAAAATTGATTATTGTTCTAAGTCTGGGGTGGAGAACCTGTAGCCTTCTGGCAGTTATTGGCTTACAAATCCCATCAGCTCCAACCATTGGTCTTGCTGGCTGTGTCTGGTGGGAGTTGGCATTCAGCAATATCTGGAAGGCCTCTGGTTTCATATCTCTGGCCTATATTCAGTTTGTCTAATTGCTTCCTGTTCCGTACAGCTGAGGGAGATTAGTGTTGAATTAGCCTTAATTCGTCAGCTTCTGTTCTCTCTTTGCAGGTGTGCTACATTTCTAGTTCATAGCCTTCCATTTTTCTTCTTTCTTTTATAGAAAAAAGTGCATTATTTTTCTATAAAGCAAGAGAAACATTGAAAGGAAATCAGTAATTTAACACATACAGAAATAGAGGACAGGAGCTGACTAAAGGGGCAATTCATCACTAATCACCAGGTTAGGCTGAATACCAAGTAATAGAGCAGGTGGAGCCACCATAATAATATTCTTTGCGGCACTTCCCATAAAAGTGAGTGAACCGGCAATGGGAGTTCCAGATAAAAGAGCTAGTACGGAAGTAACTTTAGTCTGAACATTGTAAATGGTATAAATTGTGAATAAAAAGAGAATGATTGATTGATTGCTCCCAATATGCGGCTTATCAGAGTCTATTAAATGACATAGAACATGGCAGTTTAGGTAAGGAGCAGTGACTGGTTTCGATCCCATTTTCTAAAGTGAACATCAGTTGGGGTATATCCTGTCCCAGAAGTCCCCATGCTTGTTTCTTCCCCTTTAAGACCTATAGTGAAAATATAAGCAACATTTCTGAGTTTCTATTTTCTAGCATAAAGGGAGTCATTTAAACCCCTACAAACCTTTAACACAAGGCTCATCCAGACTTGTGCTTGTCCCATGCCTAGAAAGCAAGAGTCTGAGCAGTTTTGCACTTGTCCCACACTGCTTTCCCCTGAAAAACCTGCTCTTTAGTGATAAATCAGAGCAAATATCAATCTGGAGAAACCCTGATTGATGTTCGCTCCAATTCAGCAGTAAATACTGGGTTTCCCAGGGAGAAGAAGGTGGGACAAGGGCAAGTCTGGTTGAGCCCTTTGCCTAACTTTTCTAAGTGAAATCCTCATAAAATTGTAGGAACTGAAATGGAAATGTGACTATAAAAAGGTTCCTCTGCTCTGAAACCCCAGTGAGTAACTGCCAGTCAGTGTTGATGATACTGAGCTCCTTGGACCACTGGCTTGACTCAGTATAAGGGAGTTTCCTGCATTCCTAACTCATAGTGCAATTCAGTGTTTTCTTGGACAAATGCCTTTGTTCAGCGGTAAAGCATCTGCTTTGCTTGCAAGCCCACTGAGGTTCAGTCCCCAGCATCTCAATGTATGGCTAGGAGAGAACGCTGCCTGAAGCCCTGCAGAGCTGCTGCCAGCCTATACTGAGCTAGATGGACCAGTGGTTGACTCAGTATAAGGCAGCTTCCTATGTCCCAATTTCTGTATGTTGCTCCTTGATGAAGGAAGCATTTGGAGGCTCCCCTACAGGTGAAAGGATGCAAGCCCCAAAATACGAAGCTGTTACTTCCACCTCAGCTTTTTACTGGCACATCCATTCCAGCAAAGTGGTTCAGTATGAAAGGTGGATGCACAGACTTGCTATTGTTTAGGAGATTGGACAGATTTTTTTAAAAATATTTTGCACATACACAGTTTAATCAATCAATTTATTGTATATAGCCAAAGGCCTTTACAATGTACAGCAGGGGATAAGAACAAGGCTGAAATCACACAACATGACCTATCAAAGTTAAATCAGTTTAATCAAAATAATCAAGATAGTTGATCATATTTCAGTGAATTTGAATTGCTGCTCTTTTGACTTGAGTCATGCACTGGCAATAAATGAACAGTGGACAAGATGCAAAGTAATGAAATATCAGATTTACACAATCTGGTCCCTTTTCTGCTATGTCAAGTGTATTAAATTAATATAACTAATTAAAGCAAACCAATGGATCCATATTTTATTGAAATACAGAGACCAAGACCTACACAAGTGACTATTCTTCCTGCAAACACTTCTAATATGAAGGTGTTAATGGAGCCTTTACCGTGCTGTAAATTGGCACCATCAAATTCCATGGGCCATTAACAGCAGACATTTCTGGCCGTACTTTCTGAGAGGACATTCACAGACTGAGCCTAAAGGCACTGGCATGAACAATTCCATTGAAATTAAGTGGGTTTACTTCCACCATTTTTTCATTTATGGGATGCAGAGGAGGGGGGCTGAGGGGAAAATGAATGTCAAATTTACTTAACCCCAGAATCATGTGGCCTAAACATTGTTTCCCAAAATTCTGATAGCTGAGACACCCATTTCTTTTTCTGAATAAAAATAGGACACACACTTTACTTTGACATGCCAAAAGGTTTGTATGCTAAGTGTCCAAGAAGAAAAGTGACCAGCTTCAGTGAATCCCACCTCTTTGTTTCTAAATGAGTCACTGATATGGGCTTGCTTCTTCTTACCCTGATGGAGGCAAGCCATGACAGCAACTGATGCATAGATCCTACATTTGAAGGCAGGTAGTTTTGCTGCATCTTCACACTAGGAGTCACACAGAAGATTATGTCTGATAGATGGGAAAAACCAGTAGACCTCTAGATGTTGTTGGACTCCAACTCCCATCATCTCTGCCAGCATGGCCGATGGTCAGGGATGGTGGGAGTTGTAGTCCAGCAACATCTGGAGTATCTGAGATTCCCCATGCCTAACTTAGGTGGTAGAACAAACAGAAAAGTCAATGCCCAGGAGTAGGGTCAGAGGGGAAGTAACCCATGAAAATCAATGTTATTTCACTTGATTAGGTCCTGTGGGGGTGAGTACCTCTAGTTCCATCCTTGATGGTGACTTAATCTTACAAGGATTCAGGAGGTCTCAAAAATTAAACATTTTAATGACTTATTTGAGAACAAATTAGGCTGATCTCTGTCAGTGCACCCTTTAGCCTGTGGACATGGTCTATGTGGAAAGCCTATGGTATTTGAGATGCTCTAGTTCTGAAAAAGTGATTAAAGGAGAACATGGTTGAAGTTCATAGAACAAGATGAAAGATGAAAAAATCTTTTTAAATAATTCCAGTGGCACCTTTAAGATCAACTAAATATAAGCTTTTAAGGTATGAGCTTTCGTGTGTAATACACACATCATCAGATACTCTGAAGCAGAGGTTGCTTCAACCTTATAACTGTTGATGACTGTTATGGCAGTTGGTTTCAAAGGGAAGGGCAAGGGATTTTTAAAGGGATAGATGACCAAAATTAGCTTTAGTATGTATAATGGGATATGAATCCAATATCTCTATTCAGACCAGGTCTCTCCATAGTTTTTAGTTTGGTAATGAGTTGTAATTCAGCAACTTCTCTTTCAAGTGTATTTCTAAAATTCTTTTGCAGTAAGACAGCCACTCTAAGATCCTGCACAGAATGTCATGGGAGATTGAAGTGCTCTCCTATTGGTTTCTCTTTTTTATGATTCCTGACGTCAGATTTATGCCCATTTATCCTTTGGTGTAAAGTTTGTCCTGTTTGTCCAATATAGAGAGCTGAAGGGCACTGTTGGCATTTGTTTATTATGCTTCTTATGGCTATGACAGATCAACACAGCTATCTACTTGAATCTGAAGTTCATAAAATTACTCATGATGTAGAGAAAGTGGCTAGAGAGATGTTTTTCTTCCTCTCTCACAACACTAATGATCTACAGTTATCCAATGAATTTGCCTGGAGAGAACAGACAAGAGAATGCATAGCATCCTTCACATAGCACATAGTCAGCTTATAAAACTTGCTCCCACAAATGTGGTGATGGCTTCGGAAGGGGAATTGATGGCTGAGTGGAGGGGAAGGAAATGGATGACAATGGAGTGACTCCCAATCAAGATGGGTATACATTCCCTCTGCATTCAGAAGCAGCGTGCTCCAAATTGTTGGGGAAGAACAGGAGAGTGCTGTTGTCATCACCTGCTTAGGGCTTCCCAGAGACATCTGCTTAGCCAATGTGGCAAACATGACACTGGACTTGGAAGGCCTGTGGTCTGATCCAGAAGGCGTCTCTCTTTGTTCTAACCATCCACCATTGCCACACAGCTGATGCAAAAAAAATTGTGGAGGAACCAATTTCTGGGTTTTATTCACATTTTCTGGTGTTAGATTTGAAAATCATGGGAGTATCTTCACCCAGTTTTATCCTGTGCTTGATCAGGTTGTTGCCGTGCAACTCTGTCTCTCTATTTCCATGGAAATATGGAGTAATATATCATGCACAATCTGCTTGTGGTTAGTTTTCATGCACAACCACGGCTTAACTCGCTAGAGCTTACTTGTAATTTCTTAGAAAATTTCCCATGTTGACAGTACACTTATATTTTGTGAACATAAGTATTATTCTAAAGAGATTGATCACTTCTAAACTTGACTTGATTGCTTCCAAATTGTGAATATTCCAAACTCATAGCATAGTTCTTGAGGGAATAGCCAATACTTAAGGCCAAAAATAATTTACCAGCATTATTTCTGGGAAGGTAGCATTTACTTGCACTGTTTTTCTCTTGCTAACTGAAGACTATAATCTTGTTTCCTAGCATCTTGAAAACAGAAATCCAAATCAATGTACCACTTTCACTAACAGTTGAGCTTTTAGAGACGTGCCCTTGGGGTGATCTGGGCACATTTTCATTATTTTCTGATGTTAAAAGGCCAATTGCAGAGGGAGGAGCAGCAGCTGAGCAGTGACATTTAACAACAGCAGTTGGGTAACCAGCATAACATTTTAACTCTAATATCTCAAACTAGTCTGAAGAGCAGAGAAGTGTGTTATATCTGTGGAAAGGATAGCTAGGTTGGTATTTGGCTACAATACCTGAATATAGGATTCATGACACTGGCCAAATGGTAATGGAATTATGGGAGTGTTGCTCATCTTTGTGCATGCCCAATGCCAAATCTGTGTTTGCCAGAACCCAAATTAATTCACAGTGAGGAATCTGCTTGGTTCCTTTATCTAGCACAGTTTCATTTAGCCATTGTTGGTGTGTTTCCTATACAATGAAATACAAGCAACACTCCAAATTTTAAGCAAATTCTGGCTCAGCAAGGCTGAACGTTTACACAAAGGCATATTGCAAAACACAGTTCCAACACTTCAGGACACTCTATGAAAAGGACTTTTATTCTTAAAACCAGTGGTTTTGGACTTAGGACTCTTTCCAACATTACCTCAATGACATGGGAGGCATTGCAACATGTCGTCTTCCCACACTGCTCTAGTACATTGGAAGCCCCACATCATTTTCATTTCATTTTCACTTTTAATTTGTATACTGCCTTTCTATATTACTATACACAAGGCAGTTTACAAGCTGAAAAAAACAACAAAATAGACAGCAAAGATCACACACCTAATAATAATCTGATCCAATACAAAATTTCATCAGAATTAATGCATAACTTTAACATAAACAACTTATAACAAATAAAGCAAAGTCAATAATTCATTAGACTATAATAGTAAACAGTAAAATTAAATGTCAGCAAATAATAATTAAACAGTTTACACTTAACAATTACAACAAATAATTATTAAACTATAATAAATAAAAATAATGGCAAGTCACAATGCATAAAATCCCACAAAACAAACAAAACCATGTAAAATGATCAATTTGAAAAACAATCACTTGGTGGTGAGAGAAGTTGAGATACTGGACTTCTTACAAGTGATCTTGAACTTCTGTCATTCTCTCAGCAAAACAGGAAGGTGACGTGCTAGCTCCCATATTGCTTGGGAAACCTCTGTTGAAGGGACTATAAACATTAGCTAAAATGTTTGTTTTCATTTGAATGCAACTGTGGCACAATGTCAGATTCATTGGCAAAAGTAATTTGGCTCAGCAGTAGACCTCATCAGACACTCACCTCTGCATGTTTGCAGAACACAGGCAGGCAGGCTCAAGCAAACATGCTAACTCTGCCCACATTGTCCCCATCCCAGACTAGCTGTATGCTTCAGATCTTTGCATGTTAAGCGGGGTGGGGGTGGGGAATTGTTTATGCTTGGCTGAAGACCCTTGGAAACCTCCCCTGCACAATGAGGGTTCACATTTATGTGGAAAATCCTAAGCATATTCATCTGAATGTGCTAAGATTTCTTCTTCAGACCTTCTGCTCAATGCACGAAGGTTGGAGCTGGAGCTGGTGGGAAAACTGGAGGCATGCCCAGTGTATTTATTGTTGTAAAGGGGAGGTTGATTTAGCCCTATTAATTTCTACTTGCCCTTCCGTACATTCAGACTAAAGACCTGAAGAGGGCCAGGGTCTCATACTTCATTTATGTGGGTTTCTCAGCAAAAGTTTGGAAGATTTTCATGCCCAAGTAGGTTTCTTCCTCTGTTAAGCTGAGTAGTTCTTTAGAATCCTCCTCCCTTAAAAATTAATGCTTGATATTTACTGCAGATGCATAAACTTAACGTAGGTCAATATTTTGACTGAAAGGAGAGGCAGATGGGTTGAGAGAGAACAAAACATTCTGTTGAATGATCAGATTCCATGAGATGAAAGTCTCGTTCTTAAGATATTGCAGATATTAGGATAAAACCATGGGAATCTCTCCTAGAATTAAAACAAAAAGCAAAAAATCTTCAAGCCTGGTTCATTCAAAGTTCATGGAGTTTTTATGAGTTCCGTATAAACCCAATTAACAATTTAGGAGAAAAATGGAATAAGAGAAGCTGGTAAAGGCAATATTTGGTGGTGAAGATATAAAGTTCTCTTTATAGGGGACAAGTAGGAACAAAATGGGGAAGAGAGAACACTATCATTGTTACTTCGGTTTGCTTGGACTTTTATGTTAATGGACCTAATTCCACTGACCAGAGCCAGCATGCGGGAGAGATTAGCTTACAACACGTGGTGACAGGCGGGTACCTCATCTACTGAATGCAAAGCCATAGGATCCCAAATGTATAGTGAGTAAAAAATAATGTGGAGGTTTTCCTGGCTTCCTACTGGTGTGTGCAGCTCAAAGGAATCCATGTTTGTAAATGAGGTCTGAGTGGCATCCATGGTCCTTACCTGGGTGTGTGTGCGCACGCTATGGCACTTTTCACTAAAATATTGACCACAAATATTGTATGGTGGTCAGATGCCTTTTGTTTGAGAAACATACAGAGGAAGCAGGAAGGAAGAGAAAGGAGCCTCCTTTGTTTAATAGGGTAGATTTCTATACAGTGGTACCTTGGCACACAAACGCCTTGGTTGTCAAACACTGAAAACCCAAAAGTAAGGGTTCCAGTTTTCCAATGTTTTTCGGAAACCAAACGTCTGATGTGGCTGTTGTTTATTGTTTCCAGGGCACCTGCACCAATCAGAAGCTGTGCCTTGATTTTCGAACATTTCGGAAGTTTGGCGCTTTTGTTTTTGCTAATTTTTTATGTTTTTGTTTTTGAGGCTTTTTCGGTTAATTTGTTTTTGTAATGTGTGGAACCCAGTTCAGCTACTGATTGATTGATTGATTGATTGAGTGAGTGAGCGACTGCGGAAATGTATAAAAGCCCCCCATACAAACAATGACTATCATCAGTGCAGGTTAGAAAAAAAATAATGTTAATTTTTATTATCTATAATATTGTCTTGTTTATTTTATAGTACAGTACATTGATTATTACTTTCATTTTATGGATCTATTGTCTTGTTAGATAGTAAAATTCATGTTAAATTGCTGTTTCGGGGGTTGTTTTTAAAAGTCTAGAATGGATTAATCTGTTTTGCATTACTTTCTATGAGAAAGTGTGCCCTGGTTTTGGAACGTGTTGGTTTTGGAACGGACTTCCAAATGGATTAAGTTTGTGAACTAAGGTACCACTGTATGTAGGGAGGTTTTGTTTATGTAGAATAGCCTTGAACCAGGATTCTCCATCTGAAGCCTTGTGGCAGTGTCACACAAGAGCTGACTGTGCAGCAGAGCTCCAGGATGAAGCAAGTGCAGTGGCAAATTAAAATTCTGGCCTGTATTTGTTCAGCTGGTCATATGTGCTACTTGTGCAGTAGCTGCAGGTTGTGGCTCATGAGACCATCAGGAATGAACACGATAAGCACGTGTTTTGTAGGTTGGAAACAGGTCACAACTTTAATTGATATATACAGCAGGTAATGCAGGGTTGGCAGTGACAATAAGGCAAGGAATTTGACTCCATTCTAAGCAGCCCTCCCTGCTGACATGTTGTTTTCATTTTGGTGGGAAGCATCCATAAACACCATGAGAGTTGACCAGTGTTAGATCCTGATGTGGTGCAAGTGAGGGATTGATGCAGTGCTGGTCCCCTCCCAAGCTAAGGGCATAACTTGTGCATTCCCTTCCACTGTGCTTTTGGGATCCCCCAAACCTCCCTACCCAGAGCCAGTTGAGGTTGGGAGTAAAATTCTTCCCTGGCCCTATCAACCAGTGGCCTAAGACCCAATGGAATACTAGCACTGAGGGCAGGTGGGGAAACTTGTGGGGCAAAATGGCCCTGACAGTCAAGTGGCTGAGACTTTTAAGCTTTCGGCTGCCCCACCCACCTCTTGTGAAATCCTGTATCTTCCCTTGGAATCTCATGAGAACCAGCTGGATAACCAAACCCCTCCTCTTGCCACCTAGATACGCAGCAGTGCTGGGCAGTTCATCTCTCTCTCTCTCTCTCTCTCTCTCTCTCTCTCTCTCTCTCTCTCTCACACACACACACACACACACACACAGAGGGGGGGCACATGGAGCAGTGGCACACATATTCACAGTTTGTTCAAATCTTCTTATTAATTTATTACTTTTGGATCATTGGTCGGAAACCTTTCATGAAATATTTAAAATCACCGACCCATGCATAGTTAAATGCATTTTAAAAAAGAGTTGCCTTCCCAAATGTATCATGTTTCCCCCTATATTGCTCCCCCATTGAACCCAGAGAACTCTTGGAGAATAATCAAACTTGAAAATGTATCTCACAAGATACATTTAATCCACACTCTGATGTGGTATCACAACTGTAATCAACAAGACATTCAATATCCAAGCAGAAATCAACATTTGGAGCAATTGTATACTCTCCACATCGAGGATTTCCAGAAAATAATTTTAGTAGCAGCATTTCTGTAGGTGTGATACATTAAGAAAAATGAACCGTGTTTATCAGCTCTCAAACATAGTGTTTCCCCTATAATGGTGTAGATTTTGACGTTGCAAAAGGTTACTGAGGTTCTAAGCAAACAAAGATCTCTTTCTGAAAACAACATTCAAATGAAAAGTTTTGTGCCTAGAGATTGAGTTTCAGTTACTTTTCCTTCAGAACAGATGCCCATTAGGTTCAATTAATTTGAGTCAGCTTAAAAACTAGCAACAGGCAACTGGGCTCCAGTCTGACACCCCCATAGTTCTTCATCTGAGCCCAACAATCCTCCTCAGATGATGCACCACAGAGGAAAGACCCTTAAACCTTTATTCCAGCCTCCAGTGTGAGCTGCACCTTAATTGGCCAATCCTATGTGCAAACCAAGAGACAGTCAGATGAGAAGCGTTTTAGATTATGAATTGCATTTTTGTAGTCTTTCACTGTAAATTTGGAAAATGCCAGAGGACTACCAAGTCTCTAATAAAAATAAAATAAAAAGTAATATACTGTACAAAGCTAGATTCAGGCCACCCCTGCACCTAGATGCCTCTGAGATTCAGCTGCAACATGGAGCACATGAGGGAATCCAGGCGTGTTCCTTGCTTCCTTTCTTTGGACGTCACCACTCATACATCAGTAGAGAGTGGAGAGATCCGTGGTGTATGAAGATTCCTAGCTCCGAATGGGCACAGAAAGGCGGCTACATCAAACATGCTGGTCTAATTGTTCAAGGCACATTGCAGACGCTCCCATGGTAAACTAGAGTGCTCCAGCACACTGTTCAGAAATCACAGACAGTGAGCCTTGTACCACTCAGTTCTCTGGAGTTAGAGCACTAAACCCCAATAAGCAAAATGTTTTAAAACATTGTTTAAATTGTTTCATTTAATCTCCGTGTTTCTGTACTTCCATTCCACGTAATCATTTAATTTAATGCCTTTCTTGGTCATTTCTATGGCCCACTCTCAGGAGGATCCTCCTTCTCCTTTCTCTAATATGTAAGGTTAACCGGCAGGATTTTTTTTTAAGCCTCTTTTCTGTACATTACCATATTTTATCTCCACCTCTGTAGCTTTCTCCCTCAGCCATTAATCTCTGGTGTGAAGCTTTGTCAAATTCTATTTTGAAAATTTATCTTTACTACATCAGTTGAATTCCCCTTCATCTGTTATGGCAATAATATTTTCAAAGAACTCCAGCAGCCTAGTTAGGCACGACCTCCCCTGCATGAATCTGCACTGCCTCGCTTTAATCTGCCTATCACAGGTCCACACTCCTACTTAGATCTCTTAAGATAATTAATCCCTTAAGAAAACATGAATGTTAATACTTCTCCCACAAACAGTATTTTGATTGTGGCTAAATTGAACTGTTGAGTGGGTAGAATAGGAGAAGCTTTTGAGAATATAGTCCACACTACAGATTTCAACTGGTTTAAAAGACATTCCCTCTTCTCCACGGATCGCTGGGAATTGTCCTGTGTGGAGGCATTAGAGAGTTGTAAAAGATAATTCCCAACTCCTAATGAAACTACAACTCCCAGGATTCTTTGAGGAAAGCCTATGCAAGAATACAGTATTAAAAAATAATAATCTAGGGGATTAGAAACTGGCAGAGCTGCAGCTACTCTAGTTAGATCTCTCTCCCCCTTAATAGGGGGCTTTTTGTCCTGCGGCTTTTGTCCCAGTAGGTGGCTGCATATCATGATTTGGGGTTGTTTGGGGTGGGTTGCTAGTGGTAAAGATGGAGCAACTTGACTCAGGTCTAATCTGGTTTACTTGGGGCTTTTCCAGGGTGCCAGGGTAATAACTCTTCAAAGGACCCCCAAGACACCACAGTTGCCCTTCTTGAGGGGGGAGGGAGGAAATTGTTCAGTCATTCAAGGCTTCTGCGGTGAAGATTGAATGAAAGAATTCATTTAACTTCTCTGCAGTCTCCTTATTCTCCTCCAGCAAGCTTCCCCCTCCTTTGTCATTTTGTCACAGAATGATCCATCAGCCTCCTAGCTTGGTTTGTACTTTAGATGCATTTAAATATTTTTTTTGTCTTTGTTTTTAGTGTCATTAGCAATGTGCTACTTTTCTACTTCTTTACCTTATTATCAACCTACTTTTGGTGGGACAAGGGAGTTTGTGTTTCTCTTCATTTGGAAAATACTACTTCTGCTTTAAGGGGGGGGGGGGAGTCTTACATTTGATAGGACTTCTTGTTACTCTTCATAGTCCTATCACCTCACATTATCCCAGACATAATTTGTATCGAAGGTGGCAGCTCATATGTTCAGCTGTACATAATATTAAATGATGTATTCATGGGTGAATCCCCCGTCTAAAGACTGAAATATTAGGTATCTACGAACACACACTAAGCATTTTCAGCCTTAGATGGGAGTGTGTTTGTCCTTGCACTGAACTCCACCAAGAAATTACTATTGTTTAATCACTGAAAAATCCATAAAGCCTGAGAGCTCTATCAGCATCCATAAGCCTTGTAACAGCTGGGCACTTTAGACTCCATTGTATGTATCCTTAAAACATAAGAACCATGTTTCAGAGTACTCCCAATTTTTCCAGTTTCATATTGATAAAAGTCCCTGGAAGAAGAAACGCTTTGCTAGCACTGTTGCCTATTCATGTAGAAGTTCTTCATCAAGGACTGAGCAGGTTGTAAGAGAACCTGTGCTTGTTACAGAGCAACCTTTCTCAACCTTGGGTGCTCTCCTCAGATATTGTTGGATCACAACTCCCATAATTCCCTGGATATTGACAAGGTTGGCTGGGGATGATAGAAATAGTCCAACACCATTCGGTGACCCAAGGTTGAAAAGGGTTGTCATAGAGAGTAGAAACTCAAGCTGTACATGGCAGCAGGAGACCTAGAGTAAAGTCGGATTGGTTGCAGCCAATGGGCTTCAAGTACTTAAAAATTCTAATGCATAGGAAAGGCAGTTGGTGGAGGTAATTATGATGTCACCACCTCCTACTGGCCTCATGATGACTTTTAAAAATCATCTTCACACAGTGAAATTGATGAGGTGGTCACAAGTGGTATTTTCGTAGGATTTTGCTTCACTTTGAAGCTGTGATAGGAGAGGATGGCACTAATTATTGTGCTGAACCTTCAACGTTTCAGAATATTGGGTAAGTATCCTGTTGGAAATCTTTTACTTCACATCACTATGTTTCTACACAAAATATGAATACAGAATATGTACCAGTTAAAGTTTGCTACAAGCCTAATGTTGAAAATTAAGTAAGTGATGCTTTGAATGATGCTTTGAATATCCTTCATCAACTCTCATGAAAGTTGAGTTGCATGATTCCTTTGTTATGTTCCTTTTACTTCGAGGAAGCAGAGCTCTTTCAAATATAATAAATGCAATGGACATATAATATATTAACTGCATGCTTCTGATCAATTATTATCACTAAAACGTTCTTTTACTAACCAGGAAATGACAATTTATCTCACACTGAGACTGACAAGCAAAATTATATTAGAAAGTGGTTTCTAATTAGCTAAGCACTGCGGACCCCCTGTTTTTTTTTTTTAAAAAAGTCAAGCCATGGACCCACTACTTCTAAAAATGTTGATATCTCTATGGTAGTTTTTGTTACCCTGGGTGGGTTATGCAAACTCCCTGGGGTCTGTGGACCACCTATTGGGAACCACTGATATTATATATACTGTTCTCTGGTATAGATGGTAACATCGTAGCCCCAGTATATTTCAAGTGAGCTTTGAAGAAATATGGGTGCCGACCTTAATGCTGCTTTTTGCTGGCATGACTCGGAGATATAGGCTGTGTGCATATATTATCAGTTATTCTTTTTGAGGAAGTTAAAACAGTTCCAACAGATATGCGGTGTATTGCTAAAGAGTAAATTAGCTTTCACTCTACAGGATTAATTAAATCTCCAACCTTTTTATATTCCCAGACCTTGTCTTGCAGTGTCTGGGAAGAATGGGGGGTATACTGTTGCACTTGGATTTAATTAACCTGGATATAGCTATGCAAGGGAACAATTCTGGTGTTGATTTGTATGCTGGTGAGGCTGTTAGCCTGTTGTTTTCATGCATCTTTGTATAATGCTTAATAAATATGTAAGTAGCTTGTAGAGCTGTTTGCTCTTCTGGTGAATTATTGTGATCCTTCATAACAAGTGTGATTATGTTTTTCGCTCTACCAAAATGAGAAGTGATCTGAAGTCAGCCCATGAACTAGGAAGGCAATGTACAATAGACTTGACAAGGAAATGGTCTGCTAAAGTTTGGGCTGCTTGATTCACAGTCCACCCAAGTGAATGCAGCTAGCATGGCCAATAACCCAATGAATACTTATTTGGCAGTGAGTCCTATTGAACTCAGTGGGACCCACTTTTGTGGCAATCCTGCCAACATACCCCCATCATGGAGCAGCATGCCCATGACCCTTCCATGTTAGCTAGCCATGGATGAACTGAGGCAATCCACATGCAGCAAGAGGAAACACCCCAGTGAGCTTACCCAAATGGACACCACACACACGAGGAACAATCCACCAGGCATAACGTCCCCACAGTGCTCTTACATCAGCAGCCAGTGGCACAGGCAGTACTGAGAGCCCCCCTCCCATGATGAATAACCACCATTTTGAATGACTAACCACAGGGAAGGGTGTATAGGCGGTCCAATGCAACAGCTTGCTTGAGAGGGGGCATGCATGACAAGTGCATAGGCTCTTCCTCAGACAAGGGTTCAAACACCACTGCAGGAGCAAGATCCATTTAAAGAGGAATTATATGGGGTAACCTAATGGCACTGTGAAGGGCAGCTGGTAGCTCACTCAACAGGCCACTCAACTTACCTTGAGCAGGCAAGGTAAGTTAAGGCCAAACTCATCTTATGAGAATTTGCTTACTTCCAGTGGGAACGCTGAGCCTCTTTCTTTTGGATGGATGATTGACACACTTGTAGGAAATTTCATAAAAGCTTTATTCTTATCTCTCTCCAGCATACAATAAATGGTCATTTAGGGTTTCTAGTTTAATTCAGTAGGAGTTATCAGAGTAAGTACAAGAAATAGAGGCACCTTTTAATGTCTGTATATAGGAAACACCCCCCACTACCCTGTTTTCATTATAGCATAAGTGTTTTGTGACCTGCCTCCTCCCTCTCCCACAGATTTGGCAAACTGCTAGAGATAAAAGTAACATAGGAACATGCCTTTTATAGAGTAAGATTCTGGTAATCTAGCTCACCATTGTCTGGCTGACTGCTCTCCAAGCTTTCTGGCAGGATTCTTTTCCAGTTTTACTTGGAATGCCAAGAATTGGATTTGGGACCTTTTGCATGCTAAGCATCTGCTCTAACACCAAGACCCCAACTTTCCACCATCCCCTTCTTATAATAAAAATCAAATAGTCACAATAACAAAACGGAGCCTCCATATTCAGAAGCAGTATACCCGCT